AATGTGAGTTCTTTGGGAATATGAGTATCAATCCTGTGGGAATACCCGAAATCCAGGACAACTTCATTGATCAATATCTTCAAGATATGACAGTATTTGTTCTCAATTAAGATATCTTATAAAGAAGAAACTTGAATGCAGTATAGGTTTTCTTAAATTAATTTGTAGAACTTTTTTTTAAATTATTTTAAAAGATCTGAAAAACATTTCCAAGATCCTTTTTTTGTACCTAAGACCTTGAACCATTTCTTGATTGGTTTTCCCACAACCGTTTGTTCAAATAAATCTCAAACCTTCGTTTCGCCAAATTGACATGCGAGAGGCGCTTTCCCAGACCGAAATTAAAATGAGCCCTAATTTGCAGTCCCATTGAGGGGGAAATGGAAATGGAAATGGTGCATCAGCTGCCCGGCAATGTTGAGTGACCAGCGATAAATCTCGGGAAAAAATGAAGCAAATTGAAATAAATCAATAATATTGGGCGGAGATCATCGAAGATGGCCAGCAGCTGCTGGGTTGCCTTGAGATGTGCGATCTTCCCAATAATCCGTGCCAGTCCCTTTGAATCAAAGGCAATTTTACGCATTGGTCAATGCCGAAGGGATCGAAGAGAGACAGAGATAGAGGGTGACAAAGAAGATAAATTAGGGCAGGATCGGCTCCTCCGCTCCTTTGCTCCTTTCGACTTATTTTCCAGTTCCTCCTCCAGCCCTGCCGCTAATAAATTGCCCAACAATTGTGCAATTTTTCATAGATGGAGAATATTGAACGGCGACCTTGACGCAAAGACTTCACGCTTTCGGATTTGCTACCGTTTTCCTTCCGCATTTCGTCCCCTTTCCAATCGCTTTTCCAATCAATGGTGTTTTCTTCTACACGTGGAGAAAAGAAAAGTGAAGTAGAGGCCCTATATTAGCTTTAAGAAATTATGGGGTGATCTAGAATAGTCATGAAAATGAGGCAAGGTATATAACGTATATAAGATGGTCTTGTTTATATAGTAATCTTTTCTTTAGAACTTTTTTTATTTTATTTTATTATTTAAGCATAATGATAAAAAATCGTTTAAATGTGAAATGGTAATATTTGAGTTACAATTCTATTCTTAACGTTTTTTTTTTATTTTATTTTAACTATAGAATCTATTAAGTATAGTCAAGCCATAAAATGTTTATAAAATGGTGTTCTATAATTTAACCCTATATAATAATATAAACTGTATAAGGTATATTATAGTTTACCAGTTGGTTTTCATTATATATTTCAACATAGATTTTTTAAATTTTTTATCTACTGTAATATAAAATATCTAAAATAATTTATATGATCTTCTTCTTCGTGCAGGATCGCCGCTTTTTTGCCGCCCCATCACGCTCGTCATCGCCAGGGAAAACGTGCGGCGGCAAGGACATCTAGATAAAGTGGAAAAAGAAAGTAGGTAGGGGAAAGGAGTCGGGGCGGAGTAATCTTGAATCACACGCCGCACGCTGATAGCGCCAGAACGCAGGGCCTTGAGGAAACCCAATCCAACCCAAGGAACCTCAGGAGGACCCACAATCCCTAACTGGACAGCTGTTCGGGGATTAGCACAGCTAACCGAGCTCCTTCTCCCTCTCCCTCGCCTTTTGCTTTCTCCCATTTATGTACTTTCACCTTCGGGGCGCGCAAAATTATTAAAACCTGGCCCTGAATTATGGGCCATAATTTAGAATTTCAAGGAGAGCTCCCTGCCAGCACAGAGTGTCGGGTATTTGTATTTGCTTAGAGCTTCCCCCTGGCTCACCTATTTCTTTCTTTCCTGCTCTATAAGGCTGGCAGGCAAAAAGAAAGGGGGGTGGGGAGTGTTCACAGGACCCAGATCCTTTGATTGATTTGGGATCGCTGTGAAAAGCTGGCAGTGGCATCCATTGACAGGCAGGCACTTCAAGGATCGGGCGCCCTTGGATCGGGTTATTTGCCCAGGATCATGCGAAATAGCAAGAAAGGATCTGCAGATCAATAGGTGATGCAGAACACAGCGAATAATTGGATCTGGCCAAGGATGAACTAAAAGGAAAGGAATTTATAAAAGGCGAGTGAGTGCAACTACTGTTAATTCCTTGAAATAATTTTATTTCTAGTTTTATATTATTGGTATATAATATATATCATGTATTTCTAATGAGTAAATAGTAAAGAAGCGTAAAAACATTTTCTAGATAAAAGCAGTATTTAAAATGGTATCATAACTATATAGGAAAACAATCCTAGAAACATTTCCCGCTATCGCCTAGACACAAATCAAAATAAAATCTCAATCAACCTTTCTTAATTATTCCATTGGAAACGATCAATTTTCGAATATGTATATCAATCGCACAAATTGTATCCCAATGGCAAGTCCCTTGCGGCCCATCAATATAATATATGCTGATCGTAAACGGGGCATTTGTCAAACATTATGCGATGGAAATCCGAACTTGACAAATGCCAAGTGAAATGGGATGAGCTGTGAGATGGAATGCAAAGCATTCGATTTCAATATCAACCCGTTCACTCCGGGGGGCGGGACGAGTTGACATTGCAGGGGTAGTGGAAGTGGTAGTGGTACTGGGTTTTCAAGTTCAGTCCAAGGGAATGTCCTCCCGAAATCCCATAGAAATTCCTTGACAAAAGGGGAGAGAGAGAGAGCCATCTCACCTTCAATATTGAAAGGTGCTGGCCAAAAGGTGGTTGTTCAATCGGTACACAGAAAAAAATTAAGGGTTTGGTTTAACATATGCATGTTATAAGGTGTGCAGACCAAATTGGAACTGGTTCTATAAGAAGTTTGCATTGATAAGATAAAAATACTTCGCAATTTTCTAAAGATCTATTAGATCTGGATAGGTTTTAAAAAAGTTCCACCGAAAAGCATGTTCAGATTAAAGATTTAGGAATCCCTTATAGGGATATACCATAGAGGATATTACCATATATATATGGACTAACTTTCTTTTTATCCATTGGATTTAAAGATTTATATATGGAATATAAGTTGCATAGAAAATGTAAACATGGAATAATACTTAGATTAAATAGTCCCTTATAAGTACTATATGCAATCCATATTCACCGATATGGAATCTATTATATATATAAATTGAATACAGATTTTTATAGGGACTTACAGTTGGGATAATCAGTGGAAAGGTTCTTAAGTTTTTTCGTTCAGTGATCTGAGAGAGGTAACCCTCCAGAGAGCGAGAGTAGATCGGCGAGGTGAGCACGCAACGTTGCGTGCGAGGGGAGAATCAGTCACTTTTCGTCTGCTGCAAAGACAGGACGTGTCTTTCCGTTTTCCCTGCAATCGCGAGCAGGAGTATTTTTCAAAATTACAATTTTGATTTGTCTCGTTACGCCTTCATTTTTTTTGACCGTGCAAAAGAAACCGAAATTTATATACTTTTTTGATTGTGAAACGAAGCAACTGCCCACATTTTGGATAAACAAAAAATAAAGCGAAATTATTCGCAAGCCAAAAAATACAAATAAAAAGGTAAAGATAAGTGAAGTGCCTGAAATATGGAATATAAGAACATGTGTGCATATTTTTCGTCTAAATGTGCATTAAAAATGCATTAAAGGAGAAGTGTCTGGGAAGCGGGTTTTAATTAAAAGCACCCCATAAAAATCGCACGAAAATGTATAAATTTGTGCGCGTGCGATTTTGGGTTATGTGAGTTGGGCTTTTCGTTTTGGGTTTGGGCTATGGGTTAATGGGTTTTCGAACTCGGGGTTCTCGGCCAAGTGCTCGAGTGCTCTTCAGACCAAAACGAGAGCGGCGGCTGCAAAATGCGCAAAAATGCTAGCACGCATCCTATCCGAAAACCTTTTCACTCCTCCGGATCCCCCTCATCGGCACATCCACTCTAGTGGCCGGAGATCGACACCACTGGAGGATGGGGCAGAGGAATAGGAGGAGCGGAGGTCGGAGGACCGAGGACCAGAGTGTGCCGGCACCACAATTTTGCATCGACTCACACGGGGAAAAATATAGCTTTGTTAGATGGGGTTTGAGTTTTCTAAATTAGGGTTATACAATTTACTTCGTACTGGGATTTGGAATATTTGATTATAGTAAAATGTACTTTACAGTTTCTTAATTTAGTTAGTTCATCGCCATTTCTCTTCATAATTAGTTTGTATGAAAATATAAAATGTATAGTATAGAGTAGAATATTGAAAGTATTTTAAGGTGGGTGCTTTCGCATTATATTTATATTTTTACCTTTAAAAATTATTCCGATTTATATAGCTATGAGGTTAAACTATGTGATAACACTTAAGAAAAATAATTATATAGTTTAAGATTTCTATAAAAAGTCTTATATATTATGTCATTATTAGGATTCAAATTTATAGGAGGAGAAAAATATAATATATCATATAGGAATGTAAACTCTATTCGAATTTGAGTTTATAGGAGATAAAAGTTGAATATGTCATATAGAGGAGTACATTTTCTTGGGAATTCCATATATCATATAGGGAAGTACATTTCTCGGGACTTAAGTTTATAAAAACCCTAAAAGATGGCAAATAATCGCCCATATTTAAGGCTAATTTGGTTGATATTTTCTCCCTGTGTTCGAGGCACAACCTTGGGCCAAATCGCAGCTGGAGGGCAGGGCAGGGCGATGAGAAAGCGAACCAGGGACCAAGAGACCCAGAACTTCGGATTCGCAAAGCTTTAGCGCGCTTTTCCATTGTTTCCCGGCTCTTTGTGCCTGCTCAATTGTTCGCAAGGACAAGCGGAACCAGAAACTCCTTGCGAAAATCAGGAGGCTGCCGTTCAGCTGTGCAAATCAAATCCTTGCCGAAATCCCAAGGAAACCCTTGCGAAACTCGTTTCGCTACAAGTTAGTCGGGTTTTCGCTCCTTTTATTTATTTTTTATGCGTACTTCACATTCCCCCCTAATAAGTTTTGCAAATAGACAATCGCTAACTAGCCCTATCTTTTTGCCACTTTCCAGATATCTTGATAAATCCAGATATATCACCCAAGGAGCGGCAGACGGCAGCTGGCAAGATGCTCAAGTGGGCTGTCAACCAGCCGCGAAACTCGTATTTGGCCAAAGAGCTGGTTCTGGGAATGGGAACGGCATCGGGATCGGAGACAGGATCGCTGGAGCCAAGGCCGGATCATGTGGTGGGCTCCAGCTACAGCGAGTTCCACGCCCTGCGCGGCAAGCTCAAGAGGAAGTCGCTCTCGCTGGTCCTGGGCCAGGGCAAGGAGAACCAGCTGACCTCCACGCCACTACCGACCAGCTCCCTGATCCTCAACACACGCACGCCCCCACTGAAGGACCTCAGCAACATCCTGGCCACACCGCCATCGGGAGGAGGAGGAGGAGCCATTGGAGCTGTGCCCTCGGCTGCTGCAGCTCCCCCCAAGTTCGCCTGCACCCTGCCCACCTTCGAGGCGGAGTACTCGCCCAATGCCACCGTCATCCCGGGCTCCCTGATCGCCCTGCGCGGCGTGGGCATCCCGGACAGCTACTTCGAGAAGCCACGTTACCTGGAGCAGAAGGATCTGCCCCATCCCGCTCCCCCCGCCGCTGGACAGACCACACTCAGCTCTAGCCAGATGGGCGATGTCACCCTGGAGCGCATGATCGATGCCATCCTGGAGAGCAACCGCAAGGTGCTGCCCAATGCCCGGCAGCCGCATCTCCGCAAGCCCAGGCAGCATCTCCGCCAGCGGCACAGGCAGCAGGTGCTCCGGAGCAGCCACAGCCACGCCCAGGTCCCCTCGCCCACCTACCGCCCCGCCTTCGATCCGGCCAGCGATCTGTGCGAGTACTGGAAGTCGCCCTCGCGGAGGGACTCCCTTCCAGCCGATGGCTTCGAGGAGCGGGAGGTGTGCTCCCCCGTGCCAGTTGTCAATCCCGTCCAGTCGCAGGGCAAGAGGCACTCCCTGCAGCTGCGCAGGCAGCGGGTGGTGCGCCGCAAGCGCAAGATCACCACCAAGATCTCCTCCAGCGTCAGGCAGTCGGCGCAAAAGCTGCTGGCTGCAGCCAGGTCCGGATCCGCAGTGCCCAGCCACCGAAGCGCCCAGAAGAGGCGCTACATCAGCCCCGATAGTGGCCACAACTCCACCAGCGACTTCGAGGAGGAGCTGGTGGCCATGGGATCCTTCGGCGGACGGGCGGAGGCGGTCACCAAGAGGCGACTCAGCTTCTCCTACGCCGAGGATCTCTTCGTGGACAAGTGACCCAACTGGAGGCTCCTCCGCATGTTACTTTTTGACTTTTTGTTTGGTTACAACTAAATCATTTTTTTTTGTGTGGCTAAAAGCGCAGAATTGCCTTGGAATTCGTATGTTAAAACAGATCCTATAATTATCTAAGAATCCTTTTTTTTGAGTAATAAAAAACTGATTTGAAAAACAAGTTTTGTAGTTTAACCTTTTAATAAAATATATATTTGATATCATGTATATATGGTCTACAAAAAGGTATAAAAGTATTATCGCAGAAAAACCTTTCTGTCACTCAAACAAAACTGTATCCTTGTTTGCGTTAGATAAGTACAACCATTAATTAGGGATAAACGGCCCCTTTTGGAATACTTCTTCGTGGGGATTACTTGGCAATATTTCAGCTATCCTTGAGGTAAAAAACTGGATTCTCACGGAGCCCAGTTCCGCGTTCCGCCCATGAATTCATCATCGTGACTGGGACATTGGCGAACATCGACTTTTCAGTTCCAACTGGTTAATTGCAGGGTATATCCTGCATGCAGGATATGCCGGATAATGTATGGCGAGGGTGGTGGTAAATATGTTGCGGCATATCCTGTGCGTCCTTTACACGGCACTTATCACGCACCTGTGCACCACCAAATGGCGAACCACCAACGACAAACGACAGGCTACAAAACGTTGGGCATTTGCATAAATTTGCATAGAATCGACCAAATTCTACGCTCGGCTAGTATCGAGTGCTTAGAGCCAGGATTCGAGGTCCTTGTTAACTGTACTACAGATCTACGAGTGCGAGCCACCGATCCATAACTGCACGGAGAAAAAAACTATCAGAAATTATGTATCTTATTTTAGATATCAGTAACAAATCGATCTTCAATTAAATAATAATCTAGAGAAGTCTATAATCTATACTTAAAAAATGATGGTTCTACAATTTCATAAAATTTTTTGAAATTAATAAAGGTTTTCATAGGTTATAGTCGTATATTTGCAATCGAGGTAGTATATTTTTTTCAGTGCCCCTAAGAACTGTGACTCGGCGACTTACCGACCCATAACTAAGTTATGCCAGTTATATGTCAGCCGATCCTGAGTGGGCGGAGGTACATAGTATATGGTTTTGATCCTGCACAGCCAGCTGGCAAATATGCGGAATACGAAATTGGAACAAGGAGCTATATCTAAAAATCATAGTCATTTAGCCCACTACAAAATATCATTAAATATATAATAATCAGTTTGATGATATATAAGCAGTTCAACCTTGAGCACTTAAGGAAAAATTCTTTTTAAATAAATATATATATAGTTTATATCATATAGGTATAAAAATTTACCTAATGATTATATTTCGTGATATTTTTAGTAATTCTTTTGACATTTTAATTCCGTAAAATATTTTATAAGGATTATTTTGGAAATTCCTCAAGATCTTACAGATTGAATCCCTGCAATACATTTTTTTTGCGTTGTTCGATGTCTATTACATAGTTTTATGGAAAATACCTTTGGACCATTGACCATTGTTTCGTCCCGGTCCTGTTTATGATCCTTGTTCTCGTTTCTGTCGCAGATCGGATGCGATGCATTGATCCATTGTTGGGCTCCTGCCTCCGTTTTTCATTTTCTCTGCTCAATTGAGTTCAACCAGCTGCCCAAGAAACAGAATCCCATACCGAACTGAACTCAAGTTGAAGATGAATTGAGGGTGGAGGTGGAGGAGTACTCTGATTTGCCGCTCGTTCGCTCTCTTGCCAAATGTCACATAAGAACAGGATCGGGAATGGGATCGGGATCGGGATCAGGATCAGGATCTCGAGCAGGCGGAGGCGGAGGCGCAAAAACACCTTTTCGAAAAGTGCGCCAAAAGGGAATATGCGAGAATGCCGAGCACGAGTCAACGGCAAACACAAAAGGAGGAATGGGGAATGGGGAATGGGAATCGGAAGAAGGAGAATAAGGAGCAGGCCCGAGAAAAAGGACACAAAATCGCATCGTGGCATGCGTCGGCGGATGAGGGGGGCGGGGAGTCCTCGGGGACAGCTGTCGTCGGAAACACCAACGCAAATATGCACTGGAATATATGCCATTTTTTAGGATCGCTTCCATATTTGAAGGTAAAAAAGTATCATTACACTTCATAAAGAATAGAGCAATCTTAAAAAATGGATATGATATAAAAAGAATTAGCTTTGTTTTTACCAATACAACTGGTGTTTTAATAATTTATATTGGTGATAATAATATATTATGATATGATTTGTTTTAATCAACTAAATAATTTGAAAAATATATTTAAAAGACCATAATATTGGAGAATACATTTATTTTGGGATTTTCCAAAACAAGTTGTATTGGTTTGACCTCAAAAATTAAAACAAGGTGTTTGATGAGGTTTTACTCCTTCACAATTTTTAACTTAGTTTTTATTTTCACTTAAAGTCTCTCTTTACATTGTTTTTCAGTGCATACAGCGTTTAGCGGGGGAGATCTAAGGATCTGAGGAGCCAAGGATAAATGGAGGCAGAGAATATAAGTTGAAGGAGTTGCTCAAGTGCTGCCACATGTTGCCGTTGTAAATTGGACAACAATTGACGGCCTAATAGGGTTAAGTGCCGGAAATTACGCGAACCAAAAGTGGCAGAAGCTGCAAATTCCAGCGATCTATTTGGCACACTTGATATAATAACTCTTGGAACTTAATATAAACTATATTAGTAGTATAGTATATCAAATATCTTACATAGGTAATATTTGTGATATTTACAAAAACTAAGCAACCAAAGATAAGACTTTTAATTGTATATAGTTTTACCTTATATACGAGTATTGTTTTTTGTAATAATTTGTTCAGCAAATAATCGTATTTCTTAAGGAAACTAAATCCTTTATAAACACATCCGAGTTCTATACTCCGAACCCTCTGAGAAATTGTTCAATTCGCTTTGTTAATGAAATAAAATGATCTCTAATGGAGTGTAATCATAAGATTTCCATCTCTGGAGAGTGCCCAAAACTGATAACGATCATTAGCGAAGCTGTGAGATGACAAGGTTCAAGATGCCGAGCGAACTCAATCAACGTCAGGGGAAGAGATATGGTATATGGGATATAGGATATAAGAAATAGAACATGCGACATCGGTGAGGGGAAATAAAACATAATGAATCGCAACTGTCAATAAATGGAGCACACTAGAGGGGAGGAGTCCTGGTTCTAATCCCATATGACGTGAGCAATAAGTAATAAGTGGAAGTGGCCCAAAAAACCAGACCAGATCAGGGGAGGATCGGCGAGGAAATTGCCAACTATTTGTATTTGTCAAAGGCTCTGATTTCACGGCAGCCAAGGAAAATCCAGATCCTCGACGATTAATCAATGTGACGTGAGTGCCTCTCTTTCCTTCTCGCTCGCTCTTTTCAGGACAACATCTTGAGTTGGTTTGCGCGCCAAACAAATGTCCTGGTTCGGTTTTTAAAAATTCCTCTTTGGGCTCGGATTTTTTAAGTCATCTTGGGGATACCAATTCAAAACCAAATACTCGCACTTTCCTGGAGGAAGAGGGACGAGAGAGAGAGAGGTCAGGATCGGGATCAGCAGTCGGGGCACACCGCAGGATCAAACAATCCAATCGATTTGCATACCCCCGGCAGCCAAAGGGTTGTCCTCGATCTTCAGATCCAGATCTCCAGATTGCGATACCGATTGCTTATGTAAATGTTGTTTGCCCGACAAACTTTAGCTCTCGGCACAATGCCAAATGCAAACTAATAGATACATTTTTATCGCCGTCCAATCCGGGGGTAATTAAGCATCTTTACGGTCAGCCAAAAAGGATCAGGATCAAGAAGGTTGCGGATGAGGCTGGATGCTGCCGTGTGTTCTTAAAGAACCGAATGTATTGAAGGGAGGGGACTGGACTTTTGGTAAGCACTTAAGCCAATTTGATGCGAAGTGAACTTTTGCGGCTTTGTTTACCATGAGGTTTAGATCTAACGCCTCGCTCCGGAATTTTAAATGCTCTATTATCTTTGGTGACCTTTGGAAATGTGTTAATATGTTTCGAGAACCGGTGACTAGACCTTAGCTCTTGTAAAATTATACAGTATGAGAGCGTTTCTGGAAAATATTGGAATACTTTTCAGTGAAACGTTTATAGAACACTATTGAACTCGAAAGTGTTGTGAAGAAATTAGTTATTAATTGTTATCATGGAACAAAAATATTAATTGAATACATTTATGATTAACAAATGTTAAGTACTAACTCTTCTCCACATTATCAAACTAATTAATAGTTCCAAAATATTTATAATATTTTAAAAACTATGTAGAAAGACGTAGTTATGGGGTTGAACCAAAAAAAAAGAAGTCCTATCATCCAGTAATTATTAAATCATTTTACATGCATACGATCACCATTAAAAGTTTTGACCTAGGTACCTCCGCAATAGATGTTTACTTATTTCTAAGACTTATCTGAATCCTTTCTCCAATTTCAAATACATGTACGCCAAACAAAAGGTTACAAAATAATTAAATATCACTTTATGAAATCAGTTCTGTGGCAGTTACATTATAAGAAATGGAAATAAATGTGTGTCTGATCATCCGGATCCTAAGCCTTATGAGTGTACTGTGCCTGCTGATCATTGTCCAGCACTCGATTCAGTAGATTCTTGGCCAGGATGCGGAAACGCCGCCTTGAGCGATCGCTTAGTGATTGAACCGTGGACACCAGGCCCATCAGGTAAGTGTAGTCGGGATCGTTGGATTCCGCACGCTTTCGTAAGTCCAGAGGTTGACTGGGAATTGGATCCTCAGCCAGAGTGAAGTTCAGGTCCAAGTTGGGGTCCCACAGCCAGTTCTCGGAGCCCAAAAGCTTGGTGAGCTCCTCATCGATGTCTAGGCCGGCTTCCAGTTTGTCCACCACCTGGAAGAGAGTCTCCGGCTGCTCAAAGTGGAGACCACCCTCATCCAACGTGATATAGATCACCTGCTGGCGTCTGGGTTTCTTAACTGGCGGAACATAATTTTCCTTGGGCACTGAGAAGACGCCGCGCATGAACTCCATCTGTTTGAAGTAACGCCAGCGGCAATCTAAATGGTTGCGACGCATCTCGAAGCGATAGTTTCCCCGGAGTCCCTTCCAGAGGCGCTTGCACTCATCGACGCTGAAGCTCACGGCCTTGGCCACCGCCGGCCAATCCCGGAGCATTTGTAGACGGCGATCGCAAAAGTTGACGCGGGTGTCCCAAATCGCCGGACGACAGGCGATCTCTTTGAGGAGACGGCTTTTGTCCAACTTGGCGGGCAGAGCTTTGGGTAAGTATTTGGTAGACATCGCTGTTGACTTGGCGGGGTACAACGTGGGAAAGAAAGAATATGGGGCAGTCTCCATGTCCATCTCTACGAGCACGCGTGTTCGATATTTTCTGGAGTTGCCGGCTTTTTAAGTCTAGGGCTATTTATCTTTATAATACTCATAGATTTACCCATATGTTTTTGGCGTGCTGTTTTATTCTTGTTATCGATAACTATTTGCCCCACAATGCTGCCCATAACAATCGACATTGCATTAGATGCTGCCAAGAGGTACAGTATTCAAATTCAAATTATGTGTTTCAAATATGAATGACAGTTTGAAGGAGTAAATTAAACAGTTTAAACAGCTTCTGTATAGAGTTATTTTTATAAATATGAGTATAATTGAATTGCATTAAATAAAAAGTAAAACAACCTATCATTCTAGCATTTGTAGAACAAATTGCGCATTGATTAAAGGTATGTAAGAAAAAAAACAATAAAAATAATATCCCACCTAAATGCATTCTAATCAGTATTACCCTTGTCCCACATAAAGAGTCCTCACTCCTTGAGAACCCAGAAGATATCTATTGTCTGCGCAACACGCAATGTTTGTCCACAAAAGATGGATCGTAAAATGTGTAAAAAGTTTCGTATTATTATATGTGCTTAATGAATTGTTTGTACCCTAAATCCATGTCGTAAAACACGGGAAATTTCTTGGGCCGTTCTGCCAGCGATTAAAAGTGCAGTAAAAGTGCACTAAAAATGTTCGGATCAATTGTTTGCCTTCGACTTCAGGGATTTACCATTTACGATTTAGCATCATTTACGAGCGGGATGGAAATTTTAATGATCGCACTTCAATCGTCGCCAGAGAGACTTTATCAAATTGCCATTAGAATCGGAAACCTTCGGGGCGTGTGGCAGCGGAAGAGAAAGGACTATTGTGATTAGCCCGTGATCGGCAACAGGATCGCATCCTAGCGGAGTCATAAAATTGCACCTTGGCATCGCGGCAGCGGCAGCTGATGCGGGCTTCCTTTCCTGCCCCAACCCACCTAATTTCCCATGTCATTGTCATTGTGCAGTCACTGGGACATGTGCGAAATCCCCATCCCCATCCCTATCCATATCCCTATCCTGAGTTATATATCGGCAAATCGGAAATTAGCGTATTCGCTGGCCAAATTAGCCGCTGATTATGCTGGTTGTCGGTGCTCGGATGCAAATAGAATGTCCTGCATCATGGGAGAGTCTAGTTTTTCAACCTGCCTCCGTGCAAATTATGGGGGTACGAATGCGTCTCTACACTGCCCAAAACATGCCGCAACAAACTGAGTTAACTAGAAATATGCAAATTATTTGTATAGGGGTTAAGAAAGAAGCAAAGATATTTTTCAGGATTTTGTTTTATTAAATTCTTAAGGCCCTATGGTATTTGCTTGGTTTTTGTTTAACTTTCTGGATTTATTTTATAAAGTCAAGTATGTTGAGACAAAAGGTTGTACAACTTAGTACAACTTTAATGAATATATAATATATATATTATAACATGTTAAGGATGCCATAACTTGTTTTGGAAAAAAACAGTCAGTTAGTTAAACAACAAGCAAATGTTATGTTATTTTTGGTTCAAAATACTGTTCTAATTAAATTCCTGAAAAAAGCTATAATAATGTTCTTAAAATGTTTGTCAAATGTGATTCTTAATAAAATAAAATAACACTTAAGACCCTACTTTTTGAGCAGTGCAAGCGCTGAATATAAATGCGTTTCCTTGAAGGGGATCAAGTGTGTTTTGGAGTGTTTTCGGGTCTGTTATCCTGTGTTCTGTTGTCCCGAGGCACCTGTCTTCATTAGTTGGCCGTCATTTCCTCGATAAGCAATCAATAGAGCGAGGGAGACGGGTAGACTGCGCCAGAAAGAGACGGAGAATGGACACTTACAGGTGCAAATGTTTGTTGCTTGCTCCAATTTGTTTGAGTCGACTCCATTCGGCTTTTGCATATTGATGAGGCCCAATTTGTGGCTCCCAACTCACCTGCCGATGGATAACCGAAGAAAACCAAGTGGAAAGTTAAAAGGCTTAGGTGATCACATGCTGTGCAGATCAAATTGGAAAGGATGGAAAAGCCGGGAAAATGCGAGGGAAATGCTTTCTCCATAATCGACAGGTAGTTTCAAGTGAGTTCTATTAGTCCATTACGTTTAAAGATCGCATAGGTGGAAAATACAAGTTAGAAAGTCGGTTATAACTTTCAATATCTCATCCCATATACGTAGTATTTATAAACAAATGTTATTTTATTATATAAAATGTTTTTGAGAAGTAAACAACTTTTAAAATATCCTAACTAATTATATCAAGAGGTTTCAAGATACCAAACCAATATTTATATATACGAATTTTTTTTATAAAGTGTGTTATGATTCAAAGTGGTAAATAAATATCGTCATTAAATTAAGCATTATACTTTGGGAACACACCTATCCTAAACTGTTACCATTTTGGCCTACTAACGAGTTTCCATCATTTGGGCATTTGTTATCCTTGAAGGATCTTGCTCAGGACTCCCAGCTCTCCCTTTTCAGCTCTCTTTTCTCAGTTCTCCTTTCTCAACTATCGTTTCTCAGTTCTCATTGCTCAGTTCTGGTTCCAAGTCCTCCGCATACCTGACTCGACTGTTAATCCTGGCGCAGGATTCTTTCGCTGTCCTGTGTCGAATGCGAACCAGTTTTCCGCTTCGCTGCAACTGACGCATAAATTGCGGCACTTTCCCGACCCATTTGCCGGCGAGACAGGACGAAACAGGACTCCGTCGATTATACACTCGAAAAAAACCTATAAATATTTCTAAGTTACAAATTTCGTTGGTTTATATCAACTGCTGTTCTATACTGTTTGTGTGGTGGCAGAGGATATTCAGAAATATACCTTTTTTTGCCTTTATAAATTATATTAAATTTAAAAATTCTAATACTTGATATATAATAACTTTGTTGAAAATGCAAATAAAAATCCATGAAGCTCTTCTGCAATTTTTCATAGTGTAAGGTTCCCAGTTGCTTTTCCTTCGCCAAGAAGTGCGTTGAGCTTCCCTATTCAAATAGTTTGAACTGGCAATGCGGCACGGTGATTTTTCATTTTCCCAGTCGAGTGATAAAGGAGGGGTTACGGGGAATAGGGAAAGGGATAGTATGCTGGCCACATCGATCAGTTTTACGGCTATCCTCAGAGGTATAGCACCTGTTTTTCCCCCAGCCCGCGATTTTCCACAGCAGCAGCAGCAGGTGCCAATCGAATTTTCCCCCCAGCGATGATGACATTTACATATTACCATCTTGCGCGTGGCTCCAGGATAAAATATAAAAGAAAACAGGAGCAGCCTGCTGTTCCGCAGGGATCCCTATATCTATCTTGAAACCTATATCTTTACCGATTCCCGATCCCCGCATGACAATGCTAAGTGGAGGTCCCCACCTCCTCCTGTCGTCGACCCTCATCAAACGATTCGATTTTATGTTTCCTTTCCAATTTTTCACGCTGCATTTTCCGCTGCTGCTGCTGCTGACCAGCGGGAAACTCAGGCAAGGGTTGTAAATGTCCGAGTTTTCTTTTTCCCCCTTTCCTTTAATTTTTATTACCACTTCCTCAAGACATTTTTCGATGGCACGCGCTTTTGGTCAGTTGGTCAGCGATTGTTTTCAACCCTTTGACAATGGTGTTGTGACAACGGAAAATGGACAATGGAAAATGAAAAACGGCCAAAGGAAATGCAACTTGAGTCCTTGGACAATTGAGGACAAACCGCGATATGACAGCCCGCGAACGCCCAGAATTTCTGGTCAACTTGTTGATTGTTTATTTTCATTCCAATGAAATAAATGATTTAAGGTTAAGGAATTTCTGTAATAAATATGGAAAGGCTTTATAAAATGTTTCTTTGTAAAAACATATTATAAACTTATTATATATTAATATTATTCAGATTCAGATTTTATTCAGTTTCTTTTTGATGATTTTATTAATATTATACTTTCCTTATGCATGGTCATATCTAAACACATTTTATTATTAAATATGTATTAAAAATATATCCCTAACCTTTTATTATGATAAAAATTCCTATGTATTCATACGATTTCGCTTAGGTCACGCTGAAGTAGAAATAGTCCAAAAATGTCTGGTGACTTTTAGGCAGCTGCTAAGAAAACCAAACCCAACTTTTCAGGTTCCCAAAAGTTACCTTTCATATCTTCCAGAATCCCAATTTCCGCTGCACGGGCAATTAGTTAATTAAGCGCAACTTCAAGTGTCCCACTTGGAAATCTATATCACACGAGAATCGCTCCTTGTTGACATTTCTGCAGCATCATCCAGATAATTTGCATATTTAATTGAAGAATCCCATGAGCCCAGAAAAAAAACCTCAATTTTTTCTTAATAAAAACTACGAAAATGTCAATCCAAATTTTTGGAAGGCAAAGAAAAGAGACGTGGAGATGGAGAATCTCTGGATCTGGATGGTGACGAACGAGTGGAAACCCCGCGGCGACCATCCAAGAAAAGGGTTAAATGCAAATTAAATCAGAGGTTCTACGAAAGAGAGCGAAAAAAACTGGGCGATCCGGGAACAGGACACACGGACTTGGACTCGATCCAACCCCCGAGTCCCGAATCCTGAATCCTGTATCCTGAATTCCGAATCCCGGGCAGTTGTCAACCGCCGCTTGACAGATCTCGCTTGAAACTGGATTTTTGGCATTGAGGTACATGGGGCCTCCTCAACAAATTAATTTACCTTCAACTTGATTTGGGACTACCCCTACCTTCCCAAAGGAACTTATATATGTGTGTTTTTAAGGTATGGTATCTGGGAATACGAGGTGGCCTCGATGAGAAAAGCTGAAATTCCATTTCTTATAGTTCGGGTATATATTTTGAAAGCCATGCATAAACATTTAAAAAAAATTTGGTCATTATTAATTAGTATACTTTATGCGTAGAGTTAAAGGGTGTGTTGTTTTTAAATTTAAAATAAAAGGGGTTACATATCCTGTATCATAGAAATCATAACAATTTCTAAGACGATGTAC